CCAAATATATAAAAAAAAAAAAAAAAAAAAATCATCAGAATGATTTCATTGTCCTGCTTACTTCTTCCCCCCCTCCTCCCCAAGTGCATATTTGTTTGCAAAGGCTTCATAATTTCTAAGTTCTGGATCTATCAAATGGTGAAACAAAAAATAGTATTACTCTATTTCGTTCATCAGAATCTGGAACAAATACAGATTTTACATTGCAAACTGTTATTTGACATAAGAAAAATTTCTCAAATGTCTTCAGTGATGTGAATTGTGTCTTCTGTCACCCTGAAGTTGGGCGAGATGTCGTACTCCTGTTTTACCAATTCTAAAAATGTTCAGTTTCTAAAGAAAATAGGAAAAGGGAATCATCTGCTTCTGGACAGACACACAGAATACAAAATTATTCCACACATACAATTCTCTTTCTTATCCAAAGAATATTTGTTCTTTCCAGTCTAGGAGCAATTTTACAAAAACCCAAATCACTGTACTCATCTGTATTTCCTCTTAAACTACATAAGCTATTATCAGTTCTGTAGAAACTCTTCTATATATCTGCTTTAAGATACATGTATATGTGTGCTAAGGAAAGAAAGGGAGCTAACCGGTATATATTTAAAATACTATCTGCAAACCAGAGAACAAAGGTAAGATAAATTCTGTAATTTTTTTATGTCCTTGCTTGTCTTTATTTCAGAATCATCTTTAGCTTCTGCTGAATGATTCACTTCTAAAATGCAAAAGATCATTTAGCTTTGTGTTGTTTATTAAGACTTCATTATTTTTACAAAAATAGAATAGAGCATTAGTCTTTATTAGTTTTTAGTTTAACATACAGGTCATTTATTTTGATAGGAGCATTTTGTCATACAATATATTTAGTTTATTATTGGTGGTTCATTTAATTGTTACTTTATAGCAGGTCTTCTGGTCACCACACAAATTATCAAGCTTCTGCTATTAAATATTAAAACCCACACAGATGTCAGAAAATATTTTTCTAAAAAAAGTTAGCTTAGGATAAACTGTCACGTTGTAGCAAACAAGGTCAAGAGTCCCTTTAAGAAGGAGACTATTTCATTGCCTCCTAGTTTAGATTCTCCATAGACACGGTCCACAAATGAAATAGGAACCTGTTGAAACAAGCAAAACTGTTTTTAAGGTTCAAAACCTAAATAATCAGAAATTCTGTAAACAAAAGAATGGCCTTTGAACTACTGCATGTACAGCCAGATTGGCTTCCTTTGTGTCAGTTGTTCTTACCAGTGGCTTTAATGATGCCTCATAACTGAGAAGCATGAAATCATTTGGTTTATCACCTTTAAAGATGATCCAAAGACATAACTCAGTAGCTGGATGATACACCAGTCAGAAGAAACTTAATAGCTAAAGTGTACTAAAAGCCTGGAGGCTTAAAATGAACCTTCACAACTTTCCTTGTTAGCTAAATTCAATACCTTTGAGTCAATACCTCAGAAGACAAAAATTCACCCACCACCATGAAACAGCATTCTGCTCAACTTCACCACTGGCTAGAAGATGACATCTAAATAAGGCAGTTAGCGCATATTTTACAAGCTATACCTGTCTTTATTGGCCTTTGACCATTTTATAGATTATTTACAGGATTAAAGGGCATTTAAAACACTTTTTTTGGTTTCCTTACTGAAGTGATCATACTGTCCAGATTAGCTCACTACTCATAAAATGTCAGGAACATACTGCCTTTCAGTAATTTGACCATGTTCAAATGACATATGACAGGACATTCTGCCAACGCTGATTAGAATATTCAAGAATTTCCATATATGTTTGTATGCAAAACTGAAATACTTCAGGGGCTAAAATACAGAATTGCATTTGCAAAAGTCATTAAAAAATTGGCTTAGTGTTCTGCTGGCAGTTTCAACCAGAAATCATCTGGCAAGTGGAACACAAATATCACCACACCCTTGCATCTGTGCCAGGACTGAGGATTTCTCACCATTCTAGCAGATCAGTCCACAGTAGAAGAGAACCCGGGGCAAGAAGATGGTAAGAAGATACCTAAAAAGGCAGGCAGATAGACTCAACAATGACTCTGGCTTTCTTAGTAGGGTCCCTTTGATGATCCCAGTAAGCAATCTGGCAACTACAGACAGCTGATCTACCAGGCATGGATAGAAATCACTGAATATGCAGTCAGTGCAGGATGTCAGAAGTGACATTTCCTGACCAGTGATGAAAGAATGGTTAGTATCTCATCTGATAAGAAGTATCCAGTCTTTCCCTTTGGTAGAGGGAATTAACCACCTGTTTTGTTTCTGGACTTTGCCTTTCTTGCATAAGAAGTTCTATCACTAGTCTTAAAGGAAGCATTTTCAAGAGGGTGTATTCCATGCACTGTGGTACATTTTACATATGGTAAAGAAGTACCACAAAAAGAAACAGAGGTGCATACAAGACTATTCAGGTATAGCTTGTGTCAGTTCATCTCATCATCTATTTGTTCCTTTTAGACTGGCACGTCTCAATCTTCATTTTCAACTTTGCTTAAGAAATATTTTTCCTTCACAACTGTATCCACATTTTACAACTGCATAAAAACTCCTGCTGGTAGAGCTGCAGCACTTGCAAACCAGGACTTGGATGTGCAAGTGTCACCTCTTCTGGAATTTCAGTATTACTATTTGGAGAGAGAGAGAGAGATATAAAATATATATAAAGATCCTAAGTATTGATCAGGAAATACTGTATCAATGTATTTGAAACATACTGGAAAATTGTCCTGCCCCAGGAAGTTACAATATAGAGATGATACACAGAACAGAAAAAATACAATAGTCTTATTTATAGGTATGTGTCAGCAATCTGAACACTGTCAAGTTTGTTACAGATATGACAAACCAAATCTTAAAGACAAGGCCGAAGCAGAATAACAAAGCAACTTTTCAGATGTTAGAGAGAACTCTTCCCACATGTGAGAAACCAAAGGAGGAGGGAAGAAGATGCTTACTTGAGAATGTAACAGATGAATTGTGGAGGATGGTGTAAGTGACCCATCACAAAAGAGAGCCCATATCTCAACACTGACTGGGAGACATTAGGCCTAGCCTGTCCATCAGGCTTTGAACTGGAAGACAAATATCTTCTATTTGATGGCATACAACCAGTAGAGGCATGTAAATAAATGAGTCGTGGGATCCAATAATAGGCAGAAAAAAGGTCTTTGCAGCAGCAGCCTGAAGAGGTATAAGCAACCCAAGACTGCATTATTTTAAAGCCAGAGAAGTATATTTTATTGTTTTAAAAATGTATAGTAAATAAAACCTCATCTCACCCTAGATTTCAGTATCTGGTTGCATAGACAGATGACGATTTAATTCAGCAATATTAGAAAGCAATATGTGAATGCCGCTGGATGTGAAGACCAAAGAAATTAGGGTCAAATCCCGGCTACAGACAGGATAGTGATGTTGCTCCATAAGCAAGAAAGGTAGAGGAAAAGAACTTGCTTTATTGTGTGGAAATACTCTAACCAATGTTGACAGAGAAATGCAATACGTAAGGTTTAGAGAGAGAAGGACAAGCCACAGAATTCTCTGACAATTCAGAGTCATGAAAATTATGATGAAGAACTGGTTCTGAGATTTGGCTGCAGCGAGAATTTCAGTGAATCATCTTTAAAGACACCAGCAAGAGCAATTCAATGAAATATAAAAGGCAACAATCAGAGTGCTGGAAATAGAGGATTTAACAATTATTTGGAGTTCTTTTTCAATGATTGTAGACAGCACATTCAAAGAGTTTAGAGGTGGAAAGTTGTGATAGCTGGAAAGGTGGAAAATAACAAGGCAGTAAGTGACAGAGAATAGAATAAATCTGAAACAGAATCAGGTTGCTGGAGAAAACAGAATTATTTGAAAAGACCTAACTAGAGATGTCTGAACAATATGAAGGAGGAAAAGGCTCAGAGCAGCTTCACGGTATATTTTAACTTCTTTGCCTCCTTTAAGAACCTTGTAAAATTGTATGCAGCTAAAGAAATGGCAACAGGAAGAGGGAAGGATCTGAGAAGCATATCAGCTAGGGGAATAAGTAACTGGAATTTCAGAGCTGGTATTCACCTGGAAAAGCTGGAAAAAGAGAGTTCTACATAGGGCATTTCTTTATACCAACTTTAAAATCTTGCTGCTTCTTGGAAGCACAGAAAATTTCCTATGTTCCCAGTAATCTGTATCTACACTTAAATGAAAGCACAATATACTCATCAAAACTTTTACTATACCTCTCCAATAGTATATCCTAACTGTCTAGCCCGAACAATCATCTCCATCTGGAAGACGTATCCTTTAGAAACGCATTTTTCCATTAGTTTCTGTAAGACTTCTTTTCTGTATAACCTGTAAATGATTACAAAGAAAATGAAACCTGAAGCACAATTTCTGAACTTCGGAAATCAAGATAGCGTGTAGGAATCTTAACCGCAGTCACTCACTCATATCATTACTATTTAAAAAAAAAATCTTTTAACAAAGTCATAGGAGCAACAATTCTTGCAATCTAGTCTACTATTTCTTACACGCTTTCAAACAGATTTCATATTCTTCAGTAAAGAAGGTCTGTTCTTACTCTAGTTCCTTGTTCAGCAGTTTCTTAACCTCAAATAAACTTTATGAATTGCAAACCAGACCCGTACCTGAAACTCCCTGTTAAGTCTGATGCACCTGGTCTCAGCAAAACCTGAGTTATAAAATTGGCACCACGACTGTGAAAGAAAACATGAATGTCAAAATTGCTCAGTATACAATTCCGAAAGATCAAGCAGAATTTCTAGAAAAGTAAGTAAGTATCATCCTACTAGGAAAAAAAAAAAAAGAAGAAACCTTTTATTGCTTAATGTGAAACAATTCTATTTCTAACATTTTCACTGCTAGATTTGGCTAATAAATCATAGAATCTTGAAATCAAAACCCAATGTTTTGTTTTTCAAATGCAGATGATTCGTAGATTATTGAACTTCTCTATGAAGGAGAAAACAACTATTTTTAGAAATTAGGTTTACAATCTGGTTCTTTATGGTAGAACTGTTGGTACAGCTACACACTAATACAATACAAAAGAAATACATTTGACAACAGTCAAAACCATTTTTCTTCTAATATTCACTGTAAGTGGAGAATAAAAATGCTTCCTGGACAAATGTGAGACTTGGATTTAGAAAATCAATGTTCGGTTTTGGTTTACGCTACTTTCATAGTATGATAAGGATGAGCTCCACTGATGAAAGAAGTGAGACCAAAAAGCCACTCATGACTATCTTGCTGAGGGCTATGTTACACACTGATAAGATGTGCAAATCCTTCACCTTGTCCAGTATGATGTAAAAGGATTCCTCTATAATGTCCACTTAGCTGTCTTCCTTTTTTTGGATGTATATTTTATTTAGATTCACAAAAAGATGAGCACTTATTCCAGCCATTAAAAAACAGGAGAAATCCACATACAGTCCCTGTGATACCATCTCCAGATCAGACTGGTAACACAACTCCTGCTCCTATTTCTTTACAGTAACATAGAAATTAACATTAACTTATGCCTATTCTCTTAAATCTGGTGTAAGAGAGAAAGACTATGTAGAAGCATGTCGATTACCTGTAAACCTAGATGCCAGCCTCCATATGCTTATATGACCTTGACAGAGTCTTCCTCTTTGCTTTTGGGTAAAATTTCTCCCTAGCGTTCACTGTAACTGTTTTCCAGTAAGGTCTAAGTAATGATTTATCGACATTGATCGTGGCAGATAATTCTTAACTTAGGACAAATCAGAGTGTCAAGAGAGGAGTTTAGCAAGTGATTTACTGTTTAGGGAAAGGACCATTACAGCTACTAAAGCTAACTAAATGTGTCTTTGAAACTTGACAAGTGTCATAGTCTCAGCTCACTCTTTGGATGATGAAGCTGAAAGACTGTCCCAACCTGATGCCATACAGATTTGTCCACTGTTCCAACCCATTTCTCAAGCCTAGTCATATCATTACATTCTT